CTCTTTGATTGCAACCGTGTGAGCGATCTCATGACCTCCTCCACACCTTTCCCTCCCTCCTTTTCTCCCATCCACAAATGTGCGTGCACATCTAGCACCGGAAATGGGTAAAAGTTCGCACGCTGTCATACGCCGGAGCTCGCCAAATTTATTCTATAATTGAAGAATTCAAGGAGCTCTGAATTCAGTTGCAAATTAAGAATTATTTCAAAGGCCACGATCCCTCAGAATTCAGATTACCACAAAATAGCGACAGAGCGTCGGGGCATGTACTTTTCAGAATCCAAAGCTGTGTGTTAGATCCGAGGTTTACCGAAATTTCGGAATCACGATGAGCGGTACAAAAACAGCTTGATTGTGTGACCAAGCAAAGATATTAGACAGACTTTAGAATGCCACTATTTAGCATGTGCATTTATCGAATTAGGTCGTGCTTACCTGTGTCACCGTTGCGGTATCTGAGTTTGATATTCTTTCAAAGTACATTAAACATGCGTTTCACAGGTTGGTTTAGGTCGCAAATACGCTTACTGATTGCAAATCTATCAGATCTTTTGAATTTAATTAATATACGTGAATTCTCACATGTTATCGTACTTTAAGAGAAATAGATGCAAATATACTGACAGGGACGAGGAATCATGTATCATGTATGTATCGGATTGAACTAACTGCTCAGTAAAGAAATCCGGGTACGAGGATTAGTCATTACGTAAATCAACAATCACTAATGGTAGTTTATAAACCTTGGCTCACCTATTCCATCGATTACAGAAGCTTTTCTTTGCTCGATATAAGCCGAAGTTCCGGGGTGATTAACTTGGTAACCGGTGGTTAGAGAGAATGAGTGAGTGATCTGGCTAAGTGTCGTAAACGGTGGCGTTCATTTACCTTCTTAATTTCATTCTAACTTGCAATGCTTCGGAGATATCGGTGGTCCAATACAGAAAGTCGATTAGCATCCTCAACGCGGAGAGGCCAGGGCTCGCAAACGTAAAGCAGAATACTACGAACTGCGGCGATGGAAAACCTCCTCTTAAGGGACAGTCGGATGTCATGGCGGCGTCACGGGTGTAAAAGACTGACCGGAGCTGCTCTAGCTTTCGCTTTTCGTGATGTGATCTCCTCCCCAACACCAACGCCGGCTGCGATCAAGCTCCCGAGGTACTTAAAGCTCTCAACTACTTCTAGCTGATCACCACAGAGGGTGAGTGCAGCCACAGGCTCCTGCCAGTCTTGAACAAGCAATTTGCATTTGGACGGCGCTAAGTACATATCATACATGGATACGTTGATCGCCAAGCGGTTCAGAGTGTGTTGGAATTCCTGTGTGTTGTCACCCAGAAAGGCGATGCGATCGACATATTCTAAGTCAAAGACGCTGCTCCCTGGGAGGAAATCGACCCCAAAGATTGCTAGACCGGACAAAGAATTCCGTAGAACATCTATGACAAAGTTGAGAAGGAATGGGGATACAGGGCATCTTTGTCGAACTACGCTGCAAACGGCGAAAGCTGGCCATAGGCCCTGAACCGACCTGAGGTATGACGATACAACTCCTTGAGGATAGACACGTACTTCTCAGGTACTCCATCCCTCAACAAACAGTTCCATAGTGCGGTCCTATCGACACAGTGGAGGGCTTCGCGAATGACGGTGCTCTAGCAGTTGTCGGATGGTGAAGATTTGGTCAATGCGTCCACGACCGGCCAGAAAACCAGCCTGCCCCTCGCGGGCATGTTCCTCATGCGTCTACAATCTACGAAGAATGATGGATGCTATTGGGAGCAAGCTTATACCCTTATGATTGTCGCAATCACTGCGCCGGCCATTTTTAAAAATGGAGACGCCAATCTATGGTGGAAGTTCGTCATTCTTCAACGTAAGCTACAACTGCTCTAAACTCGTAAAACCCCGGATGAAGACAATCTGACACACCGGTTCAGTTAACAAAGAGTATGAACGTTTAAAACTGAAAGAAATCATAGACTGTCAGTTCAAATTATTGATTTTTGTTACTGACGCCTTAAAATGAATGCGAAACATGATCCATCAGAATAAAAACCAGTACAAGAGCGGATATGTGAATATCTCAGGCTTGTCAATTTAAAACGAGATACCGAGATGATCCACCACATATCACAAAATGTCGAGGAGAACCTCTGAAGCACAAGCAATATGGTGAACCACATCACTCCAGCCATTATATCACTGCCGGTTCAACTCAGGTCCATTTTGCGGAATTGTAGGATACAAATTTCAATGCATTGCACTTCAATACAGAAAATAGTTGTCAGTAATAGACGGGTATCAATTTAGCCAAATGCAGAAATGCATTAGATTCATTGTTACTGGTCGGTCATCTAATCGTCCTCCAAATGGAAATATAATCAATCATAACTATTACGTTTCGCACAACTTGGATAACGCAAGTTGAACCCCCACTCCCCTACCTCTATAGAAGACCACAAATCACGAATAGATGGTCAGCTGACACTATGCACATGTGCACACACACAGAAAGAGAAACACGTACCAGTGCGCCAAAACACATCCATGTGTATATTGTCCGATTACCTGGCAACTGACATCCACTCACTACCCATCGATCTATTTCATTGTTATTACAAACCTGTAAGCCCGTCACGCTCTGTCAGCCACCCTTTAAACGATTCATCAGCTCTGGATCATAACAACGACAATGGACTAAAAATATCAAGTTTTTGGATGATGACGTTTCGAACCAATGGGAAGCCCTTTTCAAGTGAACTGCGAAGCCGTGAGATGACTGCAAAACCGGTGCAGTTGCTGATTGGTTTGGTGGTAGGAGAGAATCGTGTGTGTGTGTGTGAGTGGTTGACCTTAAGACAATTAACAGATTCAAATTAGGAGACTAGACAGAATGAAATCGTGTACTTTGAATTGTGAACAATTAAGTAGCCTCGGCTTGTAGATTGATTGGCGCATCCGGAGAGGCCGTGGACAAACGGCGAGTCAGCAACCCATCGTCTGCTATAATTATCGGTCATTTTTGCTACGTATTGATTCTCCTCTAGTAAAATAGAGCACGGAGCTATTGTTCAGTCACCCCTCTCCGGGGTTCTAACTTCTGAATTATTCTGAGGTGTTTCCGAATGTTCCGCCCTGATTCGCTTCGTATCCCCTGTATTGGCGTACATAGCCGATTATTGTTTGCACCTCTTCCGGCAGAGTAGATTCGACTGACCACCATTCGCACACTGTCACACCAGTATTGAATGAAGGACAATGATTTGAAATGCTATCGAGGGGGAGGGTGTTCTGGTGTGCGGTGGTAAAATGATATCATTGTGCCTGTTGCGATCCAATCACACTGCACAGAACCAATTTGAAGCAACTGGGAAGGTGAATCACAAGGACGGTTGTATATTGATGAAAACAGTTTTGATATGGGCTACTCATATTGTAATGAACGCTGAAAATCGGCAGAAAAGTGCATTTAATCACTCCTTTCTAAGAGTGGAGCTGGTCATAATGCCTTAGTAGGTGTAAATGAGTCGGTGATCAGTCCGATTGCTAGTATCATCCCCCGAAAGAGGTTTACGTTGAACATAAATCAGTCAAATGATTATATATATGCACTGGGCGTCTTAAAATACGGAAAACGTTTCAGATTAGATGCTGAACAGTAAGAACTCTCTTACATCACTGTCAGGTTAGCAGGCTGCGGCTCCAATAGTATCAAAATCTCTACTATCGATAGTCAACACTGGCTGTATCAAAGCGGCAATGTAACGTGGGGTCAACACGGAGTGACAGTTGTTTTGTGCCATCGGGCTCAGAATGCTTTACTTTCCTGGAAAATATTATTCTTAGGGATCTCAGTAACATGATTCAAAAGCCATCTGATAAACCTCACAGTTCTCGCTGTCTAATTTCCCAGAATGAGAACTGTGGCAACCATCAAGCGCTTGTCAATTAAGTATCCATAGCAGGGAACTGCAACGTTCGAACTGACCCACAACAATTTACCTCGAAGCACATCATTGAGAGGTTTAGCCTTGCCCAGCACTGCAAGAATGGTGACAGATTACTCAGCTTCGCCGATTATATACAACTGTTTATTATCA